GTCATAAAATTTGCAATATCCCCCCCACCAGAGGTATCCCAAATCTCCTCCCAGTACGGATCCAGGAGACAGGGATAACCGGCTTTGGAAATCCCTTCGGCTTCTCGGCAGCAGCTCCCAAGGGGACACACGTGCAGGTCCCTGGCAGGTGCTCAGCTCCAGGGTTATTTTGGAGCCTGGGCAGCCGGACAACCCCCACCTCCCGCCCCGCTTCCCCGTGGGCAGGGTGAGGCCTCGTGCGTGGCGGCGGTTCCGGTGCTGCTTCCCTGCTAATCCAGGCAGCTCCCTCTTGACTTCCCGGCCTGTCCCCGAGGGGGGACAGAGGTGAGCTGCGGAAGCGGGAGGAAGTCCCCGGGCACGGACACAGAGCTGGGGAGGGCACAAAGCCACCCTCTCGCCTTGACGGGAGACACGGCCGAGGCCGTGGCCAGGAGCGGTTGACGGGCGATGCCTTTGCCAGGGCTATTTTGGTGCCGCTGGGCTCTCCAGCTCGGGCCTGTTCCGGCGGGGAAGGGCGGCTGCCGGAGGGGTCCCCGGTCGCAGCGGCCGTGCCGGGCTGCTGGGGCTGCCAGCGCTGCTGGTGGGAGATGCGCAAAGGCCAAGGCAGGGCGGCTCCCGCGCACGTTCCAATGTATCCACATCACCATCCGCAGCTCCCGAGCCCGGGAGAGCCTGACCGCCGAGCGGGTGGGATGGGAACGGCAACGGGAATGGCAACGCGAATGGCTGGGAACGGCAACGGCAAGGGCTGGGCTGGCGGTGGGGGCCGATGGCTGGTCCCATCCGAGCCGGGCAGGATCGGAGCTGAGGCTGTGTCAGGGTAAGGGGGAGGACACCAGAGCCTTCCCCGTGCCCAGGCAGTGGGGCAGAGGATCCGCGGGGTAAAAACCAGCTCCCCTCCGTGGGCCAGGAGTGCTGGGAACAGCCCGGGTTTGTGAGAAGAGCTCCTGCCAGCCCCGGCCCGGCCAGCGACCGCACGGCTTCCCACATCACACCAGCACTGTGAGCTGGCAACAACAGGCGCTGCCAACCCAGCACCAGCTGGAGACTGGGAGGGTCGGGAAGTGGCGGGACCCCTGGGAGGGATGGAGTCAGGGATGGCAAGGAAAGAGAAAAAAAGAAAGAAAAAAAGGGGGGAAAAAAAGAAAAAAGAGAAAAATGCGAGAAAGCAAGCAAGCAAGAAAAAAAAAGCAAGGGAAAAATTAAAAAGAAAAATAAGAAGGGGGAAAAAAGTACAAATAAAAATGGAAAAAGAAAAAAAATAGTTAAGAAAAAAAAAAGAAAAGAAAAGAAAATGAAAGAAAGAGAAGTAAATAAGCCAGATTGAGGCGTGACCCTTGCCAAGTCAACCACACGACAGGGAGCACCACCTCAGGGTCATGAGCAGTCCTGGTGCTGCCCACCCTGCCCGTGTCCTCAGCAGCTTCACGCTGCGGCTGGGGAGAGCCGGCCCCGGCCCCCGCCCAGCGCCACGAGGGGATCCCCGGACCCCCACGGGCAGCGAACCCCGAGCCCCGAGGCAGAGGCAGCCCGGAGCTGCGACCCGAGGGAGGGGGTCTGGCAGGAGGGAGCCTGGCACGGGCAGGGGGGTCCTGCAGCAGCACCCCCGCCCCACAGCAGAGCCCCCGTGGGGTGCAGCACGAGGCCGGGCCCGGAGCGGGCAGCGGCTGCCAGCAGGGAACAGGTTCCGAGGCGGGGAAAGCTGCCTGCTCAATAATTAAATAAATATCAGCGATCAATAAGCACCATGCAAAGGCAGAGCCGCAGTGGTCGTGCTGTGGGCAAGGGGGGGTTCCTGAATCTCCCCCCTGTGGCCGTAGCGGCTGCCGGGGGTGGATTTCGGGGACGCCCCGCTTTGGGCCCAGGCACAGCCACCCTGCCGCGTGCCAGCGGCGTGGCCTGGGGTGACACCGGTGTCCCCACGCACGGCTCGGGGCTGCCCCTCGTCACCCCGACAGGGACTGGCGTCGCCCCTGGTCTCGGATACTGAGGGTGGCCCCCACATCCTGCCGTGCACGACCCCCCCTTTCCCTCTCAGCCGCCAGCGCAGCGTGGCACGGCCGGGTGCACATTGTCCCAAAGTTGGAGGATTTAGAACAAAATGCCCGTGCCCCCCCCGGCCCTTGCAGCCCACCATGTGCAGCTGGGCTGGGAGGGGGGAAAGGGAAAAGTTTCACGCGACGCAAGAGGCAGAACGGCCGAGCCCGAGCCTGCAACGCCGAGCCCCCCCCAGGCTCCCCGAACCCACCGAGGACCCCCTGCACCCCCCGGTGTCCCCCTTCACCCCCAAAGCCGGCGGCTTCCCTGCACCACCCACCTCTGGGCGCAGCAAACAAAAAATAAAACCCAAACCACAACGCAGTCTTCCAACCCCCCCACGCCCCAAGTGAAAGTGAAGGCTGAAAAAACCCAAAAAGCACCAGAAACACCAGAAAAAAACCCTGCAAAAGGCGAGGGAGGGGGACAAGCAGGGAAAGCGGCTCCTCTGAGCAGCCCTGCACGGCCTCAACCCGCCTTTCTCTGCTATGATTATTTTTAGGGAGGGGGTGTTGCATTTTCTTGGGTTTTCTTTCTTTTTTTTTCTTTTTTCTTTTTTTTTTTCCTTTTTTTTTTTTTTTTTTTTGTATTGCAACTGTTCCAGACTGTTGCGGCGAAAGGAGCAAATTGGGGTGGGGGAGACGCGGGGGGGTCCCGGTTACCTGGGTCAGGCAGAGAGGAGACGAATACATCCCGAGCCGTGCTGGGAAAGTGCCTAATTGCAGGGCTGAGACTCGAGGCGTAAAAGTTACTGAGTCATTTCGGAGGCTGGAGCAGTCCGGGCGTTTTTTCTCTCTCTCTCCTCCGGAGCGGCTCTGCGGGGCCCGGGGGGGGGCAGCCGGGCACGGGGGGGTGGCCCCGCGGGAGGGGGGGCCGAGGAGGAAATAAAAAGATTCCAACTTCCACCCCCCCGCCAAAAAAAAAAAACTACAAAAAAACCAAAAAAACAAAAAAAAAAAAAAAAACCCCAAAAAAACCCAAACCAAAACAAACCCTTAAAAAAAAATTAAAAATAAAAGGCAAAATTACCCCCCCTTGGAAAATAAAGCGCTGTTTTTTTGGTTGTTGTTGTTTGTTTGGGGCTGCTGGGGGGGAGGTTTAAAGAGGCAGAAGGGTCATCCTCGCCCCGGGGTGGGGGTCGGGGGTCCGCACCCAGCCTGCAGGCACGGGCGGCGGGGAAGTTAGAAGGGAAGCGGCTCCATCCGAGACCCGGGCAGCGGAGAGAGAGAGAGGAAAGAAAGAATGAGAAAATGAAAAAAAAAAAAAAAAAAAAAAAAAAAAAAAAAAAAGAGCGAGGAATGAAGTGACGTTATGAAAAAAGCCCATCCCAAAATATTACATCCCATTTAAAGATGTAGGAACCCCCTTTGGCTCGCAGGGCCGAGGTGCTGCGGGGCAGGGGGGGTTGGGGGAGGGACGGGGCCCCCTCGGGACGGCGAATTCCCCCCTCGCCCTGGCGCAGCCACACCGAGCGCGCCAGGCTTTGGGTGTTTTTGGGGTTTGATTTTTTATTTTTTATTTTTTTTTTTTTTAAATTAAACGGACCCAATCCAGAGATGGGAGAGAAAAAACCCTGCAGATTCATGTGCAACTTCTGGGCAGCGGCCCCGGCGCGGGGGGGGTGGTAGCGGTGTTACTGCCCGCACCCAGCCCCGCCGGCCCCGCGCTGCCCCCGCCGCATTCCGCTCATCCCGCGGACACGCTTCATTCCCCCCCCGCGTTATTGAGGTACCGGCAGCAGCACGGTGCCGCGGGGGGAGAGAGCGCCACGGGCAGCCCTGCACCCCCTCCTCATCCCGGGGAGCCCCGCAACCCCCCCCGCACAAAGAGAGCGGGAGATGAAAAAAGCGGAGCCTGCACCCGGCAAACTCCAAACCGCAAGTTCTCACTCCGCAACCCCCCGGCCCTGGCGGATCGCGGGCGCTAATGACGCTAATTAGAGAGCGCGCGGGGAGCGCCACGGCGGAGCACAAAGGGGATCCCCGGGCACCTCCCGGCCCGGGGGGGCCGCTCCCCTCCCGCACCGGGGATCGCCGCTCCCTTCAGGGACCTGACCCGCAGCGCGGCCGCTCCCGGCGCGGGGCCGCGGCTCCAGCGCTACCTCTCTCCCCCCCAAAAATAAGAAAACCGCTTTTTTTTGGTTTTTTTTTGTTGTTGTTGGTTTTTTTTTGGGTTTTTTTCTTTCTTTCCTCTGCGGGGACGAGCCCCCGCAGCGCCTCTCCCGCACAACTGATTTTCACTCTCAACTTCTGCCGGCCCCCGCGGCCCATCCCCGCCCGGGGCTGGGGTTCATCCCGCACTCTCCTCCCGCAGGGACAATCCCGTCCCCCCGGGATGCGGCGGCTCCGCACAAACTTGGCCGGGCGGGCCCCGCTTCCCGCATCCTCCCGGGGCGGCTCGGGCCGCGCCGCCGCGCTCCCGCCGTGGCCTGGCGGGAGGAGAAGCGGACGAAGTCCCGCACAGCGGGCCCGGGGGAAATGCTTTTATTCTCGCATCGAGGAAGGTAATTCCTCTCTCCCGCACCGGTACGGGCAGGACGACGCCGCGCAGCGCGGACTTGAGCGCGACCCTCCCGGGCGTCACTTCCAAGTTCAAGTCGGTGCGGCTGGCGGCCTCTCCGCCCCTTTTTTAGCGGCCATTTTCAGCTCCATCCAGCCCTCCGCTGGCTGCGGAGGCTCCCCCCGCGCCGCGCCGCGACCTCCCCGCCGGGCGGCTCCCGCCGCCGCCTCCGCCCCCCGGTACCGCGGGGCGGGTGGGCAGGGGGAGGAGAGACGGCGGCAGCTTCCCCCTGCCCGCCCCCGCCGCCCCGCGCCCCCCCGCCCCGACACCGTATTAAACTCGCCCCGCCGCCCCCTCCCCGGCAGCAACTTTTGCTCGTGGGGGCACCCGCAAACACGCGCACACGGGGGGGTGAAGGGGAGAGGGGGAAGTAGAAGAGAAAACGAAAGTGTCATGGGACCTACCATCGCCAAGTGCAATTAACGGGCTCCAAGTTGCTGCGAAGCGCAAAGCAAAGAGGATGGATGGGCTGGTTTGGGATTTTGGTCTAAAACGTGTGTTTTCCACCGCGCCGAAGGAGGAGGAAAAAACCGCTGCCCCGCGAAAGAATTAAAAAATTAAAAACCCAATAATAATAATAATAATAACAATGATGATAATTATAGTAAAAGTCCTCCGAGGCCAGCGGCACAGCACAGTGTCCCCCGCGGGCGGTCACCCTCGCTCCGGTTCCGTGGCCATGCTCCGGGCGGGGGCCGGGCTGCGGGGCGGGGGGCGCGGGGCGGCGGTGACGGGAGCGCGGAGCCCGCGCCCGGCCCGGCCTTGTGCGCTGCGGGGGTGGCGGGGCTGGGGGATGGCGAGGAGGGGTGCGATAGGTATTTTTGGAAGGCAAGCGGGGAAAAAAAAAAAAAAGAAATCTAAAAATTAAAAAAATATAAATTTAAAAAAAATTAAAATAAAGCCCGGGAGCGGGGCGGGCGGGCGGCGCCTACGGCAGAGAAGCACGGGCATCCCCCCCGCGCCCCCCCGGCGCAGCCCCACTCCGGCCGGGCACGGCTCCTCCTCGCAGCCCGCAGCGCCCCGGCCCCATCGCCGCCGCCCCCGCCTCCTCCTCCTCCTCTGCCTCCTCCCCTCGCCCGGGGCACCGGCGGCGTTGCGGCGGGGACGCTCCCGGTGCGGGGGCGGGGAGGGAGGAGGAGGAGGAGGAGGGAGAGAAGGAGGTGGAGGAGGAGGAGGAAGGCTCCGGCCCCGCTCGCCCGGCAGCGCGACGGCGGCCCCCGGATGGTGCGGGTAGGTGGCGGGGGCTGCGGCGCGGCCCCCCCGGGCCCGGCTGCCTGCGGGGCCGCCCCTCCGGCCCTGCCCGGCGCGGGTGGGGGCGGCGGGGGGGGCGCGGCCCCGGTGCGGAGCTACCGCAGCGCGGGGAGGAGCCGCGGGCAGCGCCGGGCCCACCGCCCGCCCCCGGCCCGGGCATCCCTCGGGCACCTCCGGCCCCGCTCAGCCCTGGCTGCCAGCCCCCGGCCCGGGCATCCCCGGCCCCGCGGAGACTGAACCTCACCCCCATCCCCGGCACACGGACACCCCCGCGCCCCACGGACACACCTCACCACCCCCGCTGCGGA